GGTAAGGTCCAGAGGGTAAATTGACCAGGGATCTGTGGCTGGTTTCTTGGAACCGGACAGAACTTGTTCGGGGTAGGTGGGATTGGGTGCTAGGACCCCCCACCTGTGTATAGGCCCGGGGCCATCTGGGGCACGGATATTGCTGGGGTGTCGGAGGGGTTTTGCTCAGGAGGCTTCAGGCAGGCAGCTGAAGCGCTCTGTGAGACTGGTTTGTGGCCTGTGTGGAGAGGTCGCCAGTCAGGGGGACTGTAAAGAGCCCCGGATTTGAGCAACTCGCCCTGAGCGGACGCCCTAAGCTGTGCCCAGACACGGCCCGGTCTGTCACACCTGGCAACCCTACCTATGGTGTTAATGGGGGACTGAGGGGTCTGGGAGGGAGCTTGGATAGGAGACGGGGGTGCAGGAGGAGATGCAAGAACTGAGGAGTTGGGAGCAGAGGCTGCTGGCTCACACTGCCCCTTTCCTCCCTGCCACGTAGTAACCTCACGGCCCTCTGAGGAGCCCTGTTTCCTAGTCTGACAACCCCTGCTCCAAACTCGAGAGGAGCTGCCCCTTTGGCTCCCCCGAGAGGACCTCACAGGGCTGAAGACCCTCAATTATGCTCTTAGTTTTATCCCCACCGACAATGTTCATTCCTCCCCCGCCCCCTCGTTCTACATGGCCGGGGAAATTTTGCCCCGTGGCATTTCTCGGGTTACCACGTGCCTGCAGGGGTAGAGCCACGTTTTATCGGCAGATCCAAATTTCACCCTCTGCTGGAGTGAATGGGGCTTCTGCCCAGCGTGGTCTGGACGTAAAACGGATCCCCAAGTATCAGTGCTGAGACGGGATTCCCATACAGCCTAAGGCGCAAAGGCCAGGGAAGTCCCGAGCAGCAGGCCTGCCATGGTTCTGTTGCAAATCGATTTGTCAACTTCCCGATGCCAGAAAACCAAACTCCCTTGCCGCTGCCCCACAGGCCTCTTCCTTCCTCCCGTCTCTTGCTCTCCCGCATCCTCTCTCCCGTTGCTCATTTTCCGGCCCAAAGAGGCATGAGTATCATTTGGACAGATGTGTCCTGCTAAGGGCGGGTTTGGTTTCTTACAGGACACGAGAGCTGGCAGCAAAATAGAAAAAAAAGGGGAGGGGGAGAAGGGAGGCCACTAAAGATTTGAAATGTCACAAAGGTTTCCATGGTTCTTTTCCCTCCGCTTTCCGCATGGTTCGTCTCAGGCTCTGTGGGTTTTGTTCAAAAGTTACAGGCGACCCCTGCACTTACGACCTCATTGGTTCCTGGAGAACCATCGTAAGTCGAACCGTTGTAAGTCGAACCCTTTTTTTCCATAGGTGCAATGTTATAAATGGGGGTTCCGCTCCCAGAACCCCATTTCATGACGAAAAAAGCCAAAATGGAAGTGGAGGAAAAGGAAACAAGCCAATGATATGTGCTCTAACAAACATTTATTAACTTAAAACAAACATTCAATGTGAAAATAAAGCACAGAAAATATTGTCATCTTCTTAACTTGGGGAGGGGCTGCTGCATGTCGCTGGGGGCCCGGGGTCAGCTGGGGATTCCCCGGGCTCCCCGCGGCCTTTCCCTGGAACCCGGTTTGCAACTACCTTGAACCGTACTTAGCCATCGTATCTTTCTCCTACATTGGTAGCTGCAAACTTGATTTTCAGTCTTCTAGTGTGTTTTTAGATAGACTTTTACATTTTTTATTTTTGTCTCTTTGGTCAGGGGGTGCAGGAGGCCTGCCGAGGGGGTGAGAGCTGCGGGGGAGGGGAGGTGCCCAGAGGGGAACCCGGTTTGCAACTACCTTGAACCGTACTTAGCCATCGTATCTTTCTCCTACATTGGTAGCTGCAAACTTGATTTTCAGTCTTCTAGTGTGTTTTTAGATAGACTTTTACATTTTTTATTTTTGTCTCTTTGGTCAGGGGGTGCAGGAGGCCTGCCGAGGGGGTGAGAGCTGCGGGGGAGGGGAGGTGCCCAGAGGCAGGCTG